ATTATTATTTTTTTTAAATATACTCAGCACTAGTTTATAGTTATTATTGATAGAAATATCGAAAAAAATAATAATTCCTTCGATCCAGCTGGACTTGAAGCAGCGACTTTTTCGACAAACGGGGGCAATCGCTCTCCCAAATGACATTTTTTTATGAGATACCAAGTGACTGGACAAACAAGTCGTGCGCCTGCTGGTAAGCGACACGCCTGTCCATAGCAGTTGCCGTGCCCCTCAGAGCTTTAATTCGCAAACATCTAATGGACACTCCGCCTGTCAGCCTTACACAAAAAATAACTGCTTGGCGACAGAAATAGGTCCTTTCACAAGAAACTCAACTGCTGTACGTGGCTGTTGCAAATCTTTTTTTTTATGTCTTTTTTGCCAAAGCGCCGCCTGTGAGTCCAGCCGGATATTAATTTTTTGTTTGTTCGACCTTTGCATCGAGTATATAACCAGAAATAGAGAATCTATCCCTGGCAACTCTTCAGGCAAATGGGTCTTATATCACTTTTAAATATCAACTCTCGTTTGCACTGAAATCACAAATTAGAACGCTGAAATAGTACACCGCCAACAACTGACCTGTGTGTTCGTCTCCGTATATTCCAAAAATATTCTGTATTTATTGTAATAAAGATAATATCTCTAACTACAGGGGGTTGTTCCATTCGGTGGTGTGGGAGAAACAACAAAATATCTAATTAGAAAACAAACGGAATCACATTTCATCGGTAATTAAATATTAAATATGTAATTTTTCAGTTTTCATCCATTATAGCAAAGCTCAAGTTAAAATGGATGATTTGAATTTGAAGTGGAACAATTGACGACCCGTCAATTGTTTCGAATTCGGGCGGGCCAATCGGAGCGCAGTTGTCATCGTAATGATTTGGCAGAATAGTTTTCACACAAATTAAATGTCATTTCGTCTGTATTTCTGGTTATATACTCGATGGACCTTTGTATCAATAAATAATCAGTTCTCTCATTCACTCTTTTTTAAGACTTCATGAGGTCGTCCTCCTCACTGAATGCCGTATCTGACTTTTTGTTACAGCTTGCAGTGTATAAATGTTTGTTTCACAAATTGATTCTACCGGAACCTCTTCATTCAGAGCTTACAGTGGTAACCAGTATATGATAGAACTATATTACAATCAAAAACTTGCTTATCGGCAGACACGGCTGCTAGTGAAAAAGGACAATATTCCGTTGCCCACAACGACTGAAGTTCTTTGCAGAAAAGCTTTGCTTGGACTAGGTGACATATCTTTAAACAAATTACAATAACCCATTACAATAAAACAATTAAACACAAAACTAGAATAACTTATGGCAACAGTTGGAAAATTTATTACAATGGAAAATAGCGCTTAGAGTCTAGTGTACTTAATAATATTAAAAAGTAATAATAATGTATAGCGGTCCATTATCTACCAAACCGAAAAGGAGGAAGATCGTATTCAAATAACCAAGAATATTATGCTGTTATATCTTATAGAAGAAAATGTGGAAGACAAACATGTCCTCGCAAGAATAAGTTACCTTGACCAAACAAAAATTTGCGGTCACGCAAGGAAGTCAAAAATTTTATTTTTTTGTACAGAAGAATCCTCGCAGGACTATATCGACGCTTGAATGGCAAAATGGGATAAGCGACACTTCTGGGTCATATGGAGTTGTATATACCGTTGAATCAGAACATTGGCTAATTTCAACGGTATATATAACTCAATATAACCAAAAGTGTCGCTTATCCCATTTTCCTTTTCAAGCGTCGATCTTCTTATTACTAACATCGTAAGCACCAACTTTAGTTCCATAACTTTTTGACAAAACATAATATTATAAATGGACCAAAAATAAACTTTAAAATTTTTGTTGTACTATCTGACACTTTTTAGATCTGTTCTGGTAGTAAGGCAGTAAGTTCAATCGTGCAAGCGTCCTCACCGACACCCGCCATCCGCGCTCCTGCGTTATCAATTTCCATAACATTATTTTTGTATGAAAGTAAAATATGTTGAATTATTAAAAGCGGAACAAAAGTTGTTGTTTATGATGTTGGTAATAAAGTCTTGCGATGTTTTTAGTCTTGTACAAATAATCCTGTCTATTAACATATCTCCGGTTAATTTCTATTGGTTAGTGAACATGGAGCCTCATAGACCAGTCGGCGACAAAAATATAATCAACATTCAAAACTTGGGAATAGTGTTTGCTCTAGAGTCAAGCATACTTTAAGACTTACTTTGCTCGCATAATCATACATTAAGACAAAATTAATTAAAATTAATGCATGGCGTACTACCTAAAATAGAGCATAGACTGCATTGAAATACGACACATCGATTCAGGCGGGCAGAAAGTAAACTTAATTTAAGTTTAGTGTAACTATTTCTTTTTTTTTATTACTATTTTTATTTAGTTATTATTGTTAATTATCCGTAAAAACAGACAGAGAGTGTTCTAGTCGAAACTACTCGTATAGACGACTTGCATTTTGCAAAACGAATCATTCAATCAAAAACATAATTTATTGGACAATGAAATGCCATAAATTAAATCTTTTACATCAGCGACCTACAAAAAACAAGCGACAAGAAACACATTTTAGCAATTGAGAATAAATTATCAATAAACTGTAATATTAGGTACTTTATCATAAACTATAAAGGCAAATTTAATTTAAGGTTATATGTCAAATCTGTAGGTAATAACGCGTAAGGAGAAAGATACTCAAAAAACTTTAAATCTAAGTTATGTTTTGTTGATTGTCGGCGACAACAGGTCTGTTCCTCGCTCACTGCAGAATACCAGCGTCCTGTTTTCCATGCATAACTCGATAAATGTTGAGTGGAGACCATTTTGTATTTGAGTCTATAATATTCAGACGAGAAGACGTGTTATTAAGAAAATGAGACCAAATAAATATTTTTTCTTCCTCGTTTTCATTTTTGTACTTCTTCTATTTTGAATCTTCAGTTATTTTTAAATTACATACAAAAGAGACCAACGCACTGTACTTAAATTAAATTTAGTTTGTTTTTACCCGAATCGACATGCTAACTTATAACAACTTATGAATTATTATTATACGCCACTATTTGATAATACCAGTAACTGAATAAGAAGTAATCGTCTTTGGCTATATCTTTATCATTTCACATTAAAAGTATAATAATAAAAAATGATTTAATGAATAAATCGCTTTTAAAGATAACAGTAGAACCTTTTCTTCTCAAACGTGTTTGGTTACGCGCGTATCTACTCCACGTGCGTATAGGCAAGTACCACAGATAATACACAATAGATACGCACTTAAAAAACAAACGAAAAGGGCTTCTGAGATCATGCTAAATTTGTTCTTCAGAATTATTCGCAAAATGATGTCTACATTATCCACTTTCAGCACGGTGTAAGTTACAATTTTGACGAATAAAAGTTATTTACACACTTCAATTTCGCGATAACTGTTGTAAAATGTAAATAATTTATGTCAAAATTGTAAGCTGAATACATTAGTGTTGTAAGAGACGATACAATTTAGAAAACGTAAATACATACATATATGAGGGTCTATAAGCCGACTTTTTTAATTAGTTGTAACTCTATTAATTGACATCTATCAAAAGCGATATAATTGTACAAAATATATATTCATCCCGAATTTGACTGTCTGGCTGGTTCACCGACACGTGCACAGACGTTGGGTGCGTGTTTTATAGGGGTTTGGTTTACAAAGGGTGTCTAGGCCTATACTCTAGCACGGTTATCTGTTGGGGTTGGTTTAGAGCTGCCACTAGTTTGGCAGTTCTAAAATAAATATTCTGTCCTTTTCATTCCTATAACGGATACAACAGATGCACTTAACTTAAAATTAGTTTAACACGCGTTCGAGCGAATCAACACCGTTATATCTTATCGAGACAACAAATTGAAATTCTTAAGTAAAAATGGAAAATTAACTTAAAATATAATAACATAAATACTGTACATAATTGCAAGGTATTTATAGCATATTTTAGAACTTAATTAAACAGATATGTAAATAACACCTGATAAAAGTTTTAAATAAAGCGAAATACATAGATGAACAATATTTTTTCATAACCAGATACAAATAACATATTGAAGCAAAATTACTTGGTAACTTTTAGCGTGATACAATTTCACACAACTAGAAATATGGTACAGTGAATTGACTATATTATTTTTAGAGGTACAGCAATGAAACTATTCCAATATTTCTAGCTGAAATTATTATACATTCAAATATAATTTAAATTGCTATATTTATTTTATTCGCGATTGTTATAATAGAAAATGAAATTATTTTTTGGAATCTAATTGGCGTGTATTTGTTTTTGTTTTCAAACAAACCAACGTTTCGAATTCTTTACAGGACCATGACGACATGGAACCTGTAAAGGGCCCGAAACATTGGTTTGTTGACACAGAATAGGAGACACACAAACTGACACTGAATAGGAACCTAAGACCTATCTTTTTTGAAGGCGAAGTAAAATAATATTTGTAGGGTTGCTAGTTTTCGTAAAATTTTAAATAGTCATGTAGTTGTTGTTTATAGTTTCATCGATAGAATGTAAAAGAAGATATATATTGCTTCCCTATATAAACCCTTAACTTGCTTTCAAATTGTATCATTAATTTTAATTTATAAGACTTATCTTTTGTTATACCCTTACTGGGTGCATGTAACATTTTAAATGTAACGTGTCTACCAATGCAAATTAATAAATAAATAAATAAAATAAAAAAAATTACCCAAAAATGGCTTGTTAAAATGTACATTTTAACAAGAATACCCAAATTTGATTATCTATATCGAATTAATATAAAAAAACTTGAAAATATGTCTCCTCTTTGTATTTTTCATTAACATAGTTCTAAATACAGGGTATGTATGTACGAACTTACAAAAAATATCAATTTAAATGAACTTTTACTCAGTAATTGGTAACTAGATGGGTCGAGGATGACTCAAATGAAACAAGTTCGGCTATTTATGCCATAAGCGTGACCTATATTCAGTCGATAGTCGATAGAATATTTACCGACAGCAACCACTAGTTGTTCGCAAGCAGGTAACACGTTTACATAATGATCAATCATTTCACTCCGTCTTCAAAAATGACGGACTATATATACCATATTATCACACAAGGAATATTTTTAAGATGGAACGAACGATATCGCTTCGATTTCGTTACAATAGTCGTGAAGTTGCGATATTACCGTCTCTCAAGTATAACTTATACGACCCTTAGCATTTTAATTAACAATATATTATTTCGCGTAAATTACCCTGGAAGCGGCTACCTACCATCACAGGTCGATCACGATATCCGCATTGTCACTGATTCGACTCTTCCGAGGACTCTGAGAGAATGGGCTCGGTATCGGGAGATTTAAAAAGTTTATTTACTAGAATTGTTATACCTACTAGTAGAAGAAGACCGCCGATTGCCTGAAAACAAAAAAATATCATTTAAGTGTGCTTAAAAAAAGAACACTGATATGTTACGAATTCGTTCTATCTAGGAATTGAGTTGCTGGAACCTACATACTCGTAACTTAGATTTTTTATTGCGGTAAATTTTCCAGCTATAAACCTAGTTAATAAACTTAGAAAGAATTTGAGTTGTAATTGGGTAAACCCTAATTTGAAATCAGGGAGACCCTAAGTTAAACTTAAGGATACCCTAAATTAAAGTTTAGTGTAATGTAATAATTAAATAGTGTCATTTACGAAATTACGGCGACACATGTATACCACCAATTAATGTTGCATCCTAAATCTGTAATGTAATAATGCAATAAGTGACTGCCTCCGTGGCCGAACGGTTACCATGCCCGGACTGCCACGCAGAGGTCCCAAGTTCGATTCCCGGGCCGGGAGAAATATTTATATGACCTACATTTATTTCTCTCGTGAGTTTGGGTGTAATTTGTGGTTGTCTATGTGTGTGTCCATGGCACCCGCGACACAGGGTTTCCCTAGTGCGAGGCTATGTTGAGTGTGTGCGTTATTGTTATAATAAGTATTTTAATTTAATTGAATGTTAGGAGACCATGACTTAAAGTTAGGAGACCCGGACTTAAAGTTAGGAGACCCTGACTTAAAGTTAGGAGACCCTGACTTAAATTTAGAGTTTCACTTATAATCCGGGGCAAATTCTAAGACCACAGTTACACCTGAACGAAATAATGTACTTACAGTAACCACATACAGCACGATGGGCACGATTCTATTCACTCTGAGAGCGAGCCTCGCAGACTGCGCGAATTCTTCGGTCAGGGCCAACTCCTGTCTGAACCAAAACATGGGTACCAGCATGTCCGGGTCCGGCAGTTGGTTGTTTAAACTGTAAATATTGTTGGTTTTAGTACTTATAACATATATACAACACTTCACAAGACGTGAACCATTATTGACTATTATATGCGTATGCGACATTCCTAAAATACCAATAGTGTTAAACTTCCACCAATTAAAAACTAACATCACACACCATTCGACTGCCATTTCACCTATTTCTGCCGCCAAGCAGTAATGTCAGCATAACTGTGTTCCGGTTTTGAAGGGTAAGGGTGCTGGTGAAATTACGTTCACATGGGTCTTGTCAACTTATGTCTCAGGGTGATGGGCGCAATGGTAGTGACCCTCAGATCTTTGCAATTTAAAGCTCTGAGTAGCACTGTAATTGTTAAGGACAGGCGTGTCGCTTACCACCAGGCGCACGACTTGTTCTTCCCGTCACTTGATGTTATAAAAAATACCCACATACGCGGAGATATAACGCTCGAATCACAAACACTTTGCAATATGGAATTACCGACAGTGCGCATGCGAATAGTCGCGTCTGACATTCCAATTTATTTTGATTTGTGGAAGGACCCAAGCCCCTTGCCTGCACGTGTTACTTTCGTGTTTTTATGATACTAATTTATGAGAAGAAGAAGTCGTGCGCCTGGTGGTAAGCGACACGCCTGTCCATAACAGTTGCACTGCCGCCCGCTCCGAGATTTTGATCACAACGATCTGAGAGGCACTACCACTGTGGCGGTCAGCTTGAGACACAAGCCAAAAAGTCCCATGTGCCTGTAATTTACCCAGCACCTTTACCTTTCAAAACCGAAAGCAGTAATACTTAGCAGTAGTACTTCCCTGGACGACTTCTTATATGTGCTGTAATATGTTTATTCAGTAACAAACATATTAAATAAAAAAAAATATTTTATTGCACAAATTTGAAGAACCATTTTTTAGGAAATCAAACTAATTCTCCGGATTGACAGTCAACCGTGACCATGGGACCTGTAAAGGGCCCAAAACGTCGGTTAGTTTGAAAAAACAAATATACGCGATTTAAATCCGGAAAAATAGTTTCATTTCCTATGTGTAACAATCGCGAAAACCTAAGAACTCGATAACCATTTTTTATTTTATTGAGCCTTTGATT